TTTCCTGAGTTTGAGACTAGATTCACATGAGTGTTCCTCCAATTCACATAAACCAAGTCTCTAATACCACCTTGTAACATCCATAAAATTTTGAAAATTTTAAAAAATTTTAAATAAATCCAAAAACCATCATTCATTACAAATTGTTTTCAAAATAGCTCAACATCAGAGAAATCCCAGAAATCATAAAACAAATATGAGGAGGTGCATGATTAAACCTTCGCCTTTACACGATCCTCCGAAGTACCTGAAACATAATCCAAAATGTAAGCCTGAAGCTTAGTAAGTTCCCTCAAAATACCAATCATAATACCAAAACAAGAATAATATCACAAACAACATGTATTCAGAGCCTTCAGCCTGACTGGAACCCCCAACCTGCCTACAGTCTATCTGGTACGCTCACAGAACCTATATCATTACTAGTATGCCACCTTCAGCTGTAAGAACCAAAAAATTTCAACCAAATTTTCACTTTTAATTTCATAAAAACAAATATCATAACATTAATTCTAAAAATCAATCAATAAGTTTTCAAAACAATTTATCAATCCAGGACCACCATTCTATCTCTATGCAGGTGTACAATCTTGCCGGAGCCTTCTTGCGATCCTCGAAAGTACCTGAAACACATAACATATAACACGGTAAGCATAAATGCTTAGTGAGTTCCCCAAAATACCACATACACATACTAGCCACCTTAGGCTACAAGACCTTACGATCACTGTGTCTCATTGGGATCTTCCGATCCCATAATCCTGGTAGACCTTCTGGTCCTACCATACTGACCTTCCGGTCCTAACCCTGTTGACCTTTCGGTCCAATCCTGCTTGACCTTCCGATCCAACCCTGCTTGATCTTTCGGTCCAACTCATACATCATATGCATATCATATCAAATCATATAACTCATACAAGCACATAAGACCTTCCGATCACACATAGTTACCATTCTAGGTAAAGTATAGTGAGAAGACTCACCTCGTAACTAGAAGATAACAAACAAGCTCTCGAAATCCTGAACTACCTCAGCCTATCATAATAGACAAACATCTTAATCATTATCCATCCTTTTATCCTTTTTACTCCTAAAGCCCTTTTATTCTCTTTCTGTCTCTTAGAATTGGATAAAAGACCATTTTACCCCTCCATGGTCTCATATGCCCCTTAGTGACCCATCCCATAAGCTAACCGAAGTCTGCTTAATTTAATCTGTCCAGGCTGACCTGACTCGCCGAGTGCACTCTTGTGACTTGTCGAGTCCATTCGCATTTCTTCAAGTTCTGTCTTAGAGTCCACTCAGCCCGTCGAGTTTCCCTTCAACTCAACGAGTTCATATTGGGTCGAAGATATCGGGACAACCCCACTACGACTCATCGAGTCATCCAACAGACTCGGCGAGTCCATCCCATCGAATCCTCATTCAGCCATTTGAGGTCAGATTCGTGGCTCTAACTTATAGATCCAACCTTCTAACATCCAATAATCACGTAAAGGTTTGATATTTACGTCCATGCATCACCCATCTAGATTTATTTGTCAAAATAACCCTCAAAATGGTGTTTCAGGATCAATACTATTATGTGACTGCATAAAGCTTAAATCATGGGACTCTCTGGACCTCTTAAGGTCCAGATCTGTAGTCTAAGCCTCAAGGGGACCTCTTATACTCAATATCTTCAACTAAAAAAGGGTAAAGAAACCCTAATTTCATGATATCTACTAATCATACAAAAATAGGTACAGATTCATACCTTAAACAGCAACCTAGAATGGAATAGAAGGAGATCTGAGCTCCTCTAGTTGATTTAGCTTGAATAATCTTCTCCTTCCTTGCAAGAATGCACCAAGATGAAGAAAATGGCTCCCTTTTTCACTCTAAGCTCTCTGGATCGATTTGGGGTCTCTCAAAGGGGAAGTGTAGCCGCAAATGAAGGCCATAAGAGCCTTTAAATAGGTCACAAACCCGCGAAATTAGGGTTTTTCTCAGTAGTGCTGACTCGGCGAGTCAGATACTCGACTCGTCGAGTCCATTAATTAAACATGTCACCAAGTCGCGACCGCACTCGATGAGTTGAGGCACCAACTTGTCGAGTCCCTCCAAAATTCTTAAATTAAATATTAAGAATAATATACCTGGAAAAATGGATGTTACATCAGCCTTCAGCTTATCTGGAATGTTCTTTGAGCCTTCAGCCTGACTGGTATGCCCCAGCAGCCTTCAGTCTATCTGGGATGCCCTGGGTCTGTTAGCCTTCAACACAAAGCAGGTCCGCCCACTACAAATAAAATGACATTTAGTGACATAAGAAAATATGCCACTAAAACCCAAAAAAGTGTCACTAAAGCCCTCGTGGATAATCAGCGGCACAAAAAAAAGTGTCACTAAAAACACTCCCACTAAAGGCCTTTACTGGCACTTTCTGGTTGTGACGCTGCAACTTTATTGAACTTTAGTGACACTTTTCTATTATGCCACTAAAATATTTGTAGGATTTAGTGTCACTATTTTTATGTCATTATTTTACTCTAAAATTAAATATTATTTCCATGCTTTTTGTGGAATTTTTTTAACACAAAAGTTATATTAACAAATTAGGTTTGAATTTTTTAAATTTTAAAGGTAATATAAAATAATAATAAGACAATTAAGATAATGAATGAAATCACAATATCATTAAGTAAATTCAAACTTTTCTAACAAAAATACTATCAATAATTAATTTATAATACAAATGTCTTCAAAAAGATTAAATAAATATAAATGTTCTACTAATACTCAAAACATAATACTATCAAACTAGATACTTTTGGGAGAATAAACACAAAACTTGATTCTGGTCTCTTTTTTTGTTTCTAATTGAAACCTACATAACAAATGAATAAAATTAGATCAATAAGACTTTTGAATAAAAACAAGACATGCAAAATTAGTAAAATGCTTACCACCCTTCCATAGCTTGTTAAAGAGGGATCTGCCGGCATGAGGCATGTAATATGATTACAACAGAAGAATAAGGCTTGAAAGTTATAAGGTATCAACTCCTTCTAAACCAACAATAGTAGTGAATATTTTGGTCTTCACCAGATTTAGCTACAGTTTTTATAGGACAAAAGACACATCATCAAATCTAGGTAGATATTTCATCCATAAAGAAAAAACGTAAACACTTACTTCTTTGGCACCTCAATCTTCTTTTGTCTTATTTTTTTTCTAGAATAGATGATATCAACTATTGGACAATAAGCTCTTCTAGTTTCTAACAAATGAGATACATGTAACTAAATAAGATCAATCAAATAAAATTTAATATAATATATTTATACTATTATGTTACACAAAGTGATAATGCATAACTAAAGCAATCACCTCTTAGAAGCATACGAGATTCAACATGAAGTTGGTCAAATTGAGCGCTTCTTTCCTATCAATCCAAGAATAAACAATTTATCAACAAACATCATTAGAAACAACTCAATGACAATTAAGTAATTATGTTTTTAAATTATTTTATTCTTTTAAAATTAAAAGTCATAACAACTCATAACTAACCTGAAAATTAACCAAAATGTATCCAAAAATGGAATCACGTAGGAGAGATATATCTTTGCTTACCTTCTTTTGCTACAGGTTTAGACTTTTGGATCCTCATTGGAACTCTTGAGTCTTTTTTTCATGTTTTTCTTCTCACTCAACACATCTACATTTACTTCCTCCTCCCTGTCTTCCCTAATTTTCATATTTCTAGTCTCTAATTCCTTTCCCACTATTGGACCAGTGCCTCTAAAAACCTCTTGAATAAGTGATTCAGTCATTTATATGTGAACGTTACTAACATACCTGCATTTGAAATATAATTTTAGCTAAAGATTCTTCTACTTGTGAATAAGTCAATAAAAATAAAAGCATATGATGCTTCAGGTGTATACTGGTTATAAACTTTAGGATTCATGACACAGAAGCAAATATCATGGGTATACATGCGTTGTGAATAAGTAAAATATTATATAATCGCAAAAAAATTGAACTCATAGTGGTATCTGTTTCAGGCATTTCCTCGAGCACTTGATGTGCATCTCTAAACATGAAGGATATTTGATTAATATTAAAATAGAAATGCCAAAAACATCCAAACGACAACAAATTACAACAATGTGGGTTAAAAAATAAACTCAAAAAAAAGTTCTGAGTAACAACAATTTAAATTGAAAATCTGAAAATTTGAGAATAGAGTAGAGACAGACCTTAAACTGTGTTAATGGAGAGCTTTCGAGGAGATAGAGAAGGCTAAGGGAGAGATCGCAGGGTAGATTTGTAATGCACAATGGAGGATGGAGCGAATTGGGAATTTTTATTAGGTTTCAGAAGATACATCACAATAGGGTTGGCAATTTTAGTAGATAAATAAGTTTTTAAGTATACGGGGTGAATGTAAACTGAGTAAAGCGGGAATGAAAATTTGAGATAAGCGGGAATCCAAATTCTGAAGTTTGAAGCAGGAATGAAAATTTATAGTGGCACAACAAAAATATGCCACAAAAAAAAAAAACATAATTTAGTGGCACAAAAATAATATGCCGTTAAAAACTTGTGCCACTAAATGTAATTTTGTTTCACTACTAGAAAACAGACCTTTAATGACGTGCAAATAATGACACACGCTGATAGAGGACATGCATTTCTGTGTGCCTTAAAAAATAATGTCAGTTTTGCAAAATTTGAAGGATAGAGGACACGCATTTGTGGGCGCCCTAAAATTAGTGTCCAACAAAAAGAAATTAAAAGAACGGAGGGCACCTATCCTAAAAAGCGTGTCGTGTTACCCTGTCGCTTTATAATTTTAGTCTAAGCGCGCGTTTTTGTTTTTTAATAGCAGGGGAAATGAAATCAAAAAAATTAAAAACCCCTCCTGTTGTGTCTCCTCCCTTCCACAGGAACACTCACCTTGATCAGACTCACTACCATCTATCTCTCTCTCTCTCTCTCTATGTCTCTCCATGGTAAAGACCACCACTATCTTGTATATGGAATGTAATAAATCGGGAGGAAAGGGCGATTTCTTGGCTGAAAATCCTTTGCAAAGTGATTCCTCTCAATCTTCATCCTCTCACTGTTTCTCCCCATTCGTGCTTCTAATGAATCAAATATCATCGAATAATAATGTAAAGATTCAAGAAATCGCCCGAGAAAAAACGGCCCAGTGTGGTTCGCATCTTGCTCCGCCATCGTTAGTAGCGTCGGCCCGGTTTATTACATTCCATATAAATTTCCTTTCCTTCAATTCTAACCCTAGTTTGTTCTCCCCCCCCCCCCCTTTTCCTTCACAAACACACATGGATTATGAGTTCCTTATCTGTTCCTATGGGGTTCACGAAGCATGGTTTATACATCTAGGGTTTCTGAATTTCAAGTATTATGCACACAAATGTCAGAAGAAATATGGTCAACCAGCTCAAATATGGTCTGATTGCTTCATCGTTGTACGTCGTGGCTTCTTCATCGAGAGAAGTATTGGCTCCTTCTTCGTCACTAATCAACTATTGATATATGGTAAGCTTAGAGACCTAACTGCTCAATGACAAACACATGAACATTGTTCTGCTTCTTTTTTCGTTTCTTTTTAGGTTTATTTAATTTGATTTAGAACTCTTGAATTTATCCCCATTATTCGCCCAATTACTGCTAGTTGTCAAAGACATGTTTAACTGCCTTAGTCATCAACGAACATGGGATGCCCAAACGACTGAACCATGGCCTGTAAATGAAACGAAAACTGGTAATCTTGATAAGCTAGTAGTTTTCCAATCCATTACACTCCCATACACACACTTATTTCTATTTATTTCCTTCTTTTCTTTCTTTTCTTTTGATTTCACGTACAGGGGTTGTAGTAAACATAATCTTTTTTTCTTTTTCTTTTTCGTTTTGTCCTTTCTATGTGATTTAAGGTTCTATTACAATTGCTTTGTGCTCTGTATGATACCATTGCCTCATATAGGAGTGTGTGGAAGCTTAAAATCAGGGTAGTGGAGTATTTACTTGTTGTCCAACTCACCAACTCATCTGTTCATGAGGCTTTATCAGGATCAATTGTCCATAACAAAAGCTTGGTACTGTTTTGTTTTTCTATTTCTATTTCTATTTAATCTTATTATCCCTCTTAAATAATCTCTTTTCTCGTGTATTTATTTATCTATTGATACCCTATTGTAAAGTGTTGAAGAAGATTAGCTAGACTATTAATCCAGATGTTCCTTTTGATGATGTTGTTGCAGGGTGTTTATAGGATAATCTGCAACTTAGTGTTGCACATTATATAAACAGTGATGTCCGTGTATCAGATTCATCTCAACAAAATGGAAAACGAATTACTGGTCTTGTTCAGCACCAAAAAGGCAAGCAAGGAGATGCAAGATAGGGTAAGGGCATCAGACTTCTTCCTTCATGTATCAAAACTCGTACTTTAGAAAGGTTTATTATCTTTTCTTTCATTATTGATTATATTTGTAGATATTATATTATATTTATATTTTTCTGATTTCATTGTTGTTTATAGGTCTGAAACTGAAAGCTCACAAGCTGTTGATAAAGTCCATCATCAAGTAAGAAGAGCTCCCAGTTTTAGTGGTCCTTTAAACCTTCCAAACCGAGCTTCAGGAAACAGTTTGTCAGCTCCAAGTAAACCATCTGGAGGTATTTTTTTTAATTCATTTCAACATCAATGAAATCCCTCTTTGTTTTTTTTCTTTTTCTTTTAATATATATATATATATATATATATATATATATATATATATATATATATATATATATATATATAACTTGCACAAGATACAGGGATTCTTTGGATGATAAGTCAAAAGCAAATTTAGTACAAATAAATGGATGGTTTTCTATGACATCAGAAGACCTGGATCTTGTAAAGGATATTCCATTATGTACAGTTCCTCAAAATATTACCTGAGTTGTTCATTCAACCGATTGAAAAATGGCTCAATATGAGCAAAGTTCTGCCAAATGAGTTGATCCCAGTCATTGACATATCTGATTCTGAAGACCCTGAGGTAATAAAGTCAGTATGTGATGCAGCCAAGAAATTGGGATTTTTTCAAATAGTTAACCATGGTGTACCACTTAGCATAATTGAGGGTGTTAAAGATGCAACACATAAGTTTTTTGAGTTATCAAGCGAAGAGAAAAAGAAATACTTGTCCCAGAATACTCCCTCAAAAAATGTTAGAAAGGTTTATTATCTTTTCTTTCATTATTGATTATATTTATAAATATTATATTATATTTATATTTTCTGATTTCATTGTTGTTTATAGGTCTGAAATTGAAAGCTCACAAGTTGTTGATAAAGTCCATCATCAACTAAGAAAAGCTCCCAGTTTTAGTGGTCCTTTAAACCTTCCAAACCGAGCTTTAGGAAACAGTTAGTCAGCTCCATTAAACCATCTGGAGGTATGTTTTTTAATTCATTTCAACATCAATGAAAGGCCTCTTTGTTTTTTTCCTTTTCTTTTAATATATATATATTTTTTACTTGCACAGAATACTCCTTCAAAAAATGTTAGATACCTTAAAAGTTTCAGTCCCGAACTTACTTCCTTCATGTGATCCTAATGTTTATTTATAGAATTGTTGCCATTTAGTTTCCTAATAATTATACTACACATAACACATGCATGCTTGAACTTTTAAGAAGGTGAATATTGAAATACCCTTTTCAAGGCATGAGTCCAATAGATGCAGATGAAGGTCAGGAACGAATAACAGCCGTTAAGACCACGGTCGGTCCTTCACCATAACAGTCGTTAAGACCACTCATTTTTCATGTACACAATGGTATTTTGGCCCTCAAGTTACTTATTAATCTTAAAATTTTGGCTGTCGTATACTTTCTTCCTAATAAAAAATACAATATTACTAATTCATTTCCTTTCTCTTCTTTTAACCTAATATATGGCGTTAAATAGCAACTTAACTTTGAGTTTGTGTACAGACAAAAATTACAAGAACTGCTAGATTTCTTAGGAGCATTATATGTTGTTGTTCTCTTCCAATATGGTTCCAAAATATATAACACTACTGATAGATATAGAGCACATGGTTTATATTCAAGTTCCTTCCCATGGTGGCATTTGAGATGCATAATGTCTTTGTATGTGTTTGTTGTCTGGCCTGAATCAGATCCACTTCACTTAAATACATTTTATAATATCTGTGAATTGTGATGTCTGATGTCTAGTGTTGTTCAAACTTCAAATCACATTAATTTTATTCTATGTTAAGGTGTATGAATGTCATTTGAAAAGAAACAAACTGTGTTTTCAGCTACTGGAGAAAGCACTAGAAAGGAGTGGAAATGATTTAGATTCTGGCATCAAGAGTCTCAATGAACTCTATCTTGGATATGTGGATGGGATCTCAGGTTTACCCATGCAATCAAATGTAGTAACTGAAAAAGGTAATTCTTTTCATTTCCATTGCCAAATAAATAGAGTTTTGGAAATTATGTGTCTTTATTATTATGAACTTTCTTTTTTGTTATATTTAATAAACAAGATTCATTTATTTATTAAAATTCAAAACCACAGATTCTTCTACTGAGAGTGAAGGTGTTGCTTCTTTGGAGAACAATTCATCAGCTAATAATGACAACATCCCTAAAAGTGGTGCAGAATGGGCTGAAATGTTTCCAGTAAGAAACAGAGTTGTATGGTTATTTGTTAGTTTTATAGGAATGTATAACCCATGTTAGCAATGTATTGTTTTTGTTTAACATTTGAATGATTCTTTGTATGACATTATAATTTGTGCAATTTATTTTATTTTTTGAGTATGAAATTTTATTTTATATTATGCAACGGATTGTATTTTTTGTATAAGGTATTTTATTCCTATTATGAGAAATTAAATGCATATTTTATTTAAAAATTAATAAATATATAATTGTTTTTTTAAACATTCAAATTTACAATACGCAAAAATGTGTGTCATCTTCACTTATGATATGGCCTTTCTTAACAGGGGTTTTAATGATACGCATTGCGTGTCGTAAATGCACGTCGTCTATAGACGACGCGCAAAAGCGTGTCGTCTCTCACTATGGTAGGTCCTTTCTTGACGCGCATTTGTGCATTGTCTGAGCGTTTTACGACACACATTGCATGTCGTAAAAGGCTGTTTTTCTAGTAGTGTTTGTAGTGCCTCAACCCACCCTCACATAACATATCGACATATAACAATTAAACATATAACCAGACAATCATGCATACAGACAGATCTTATAGATCACTAAGTATAGCATCATCCTATTATCAAGATGCAGATCTAATAGATCACTATAGTCTACAATCATATGATAAACCAGGCTAACAATCTAAAGGGGCCAGCCTTGGTACCTTTGACCCAACATGTATAGTGAGGAACACTCACCTCACAAGCAGCATGACCAACCCATCAAAACCTCAAATACCCAAAATGCCCTCAAAGTCAAACTTGGTCAACCATGGGCAAAGTCAAGGTTAATAGTCCATGTTGACCCAACTCGTTAAGTGCACTTACCAACTCGTTCAGTTCCTTAGTACTTAGAGAAACAGGGAAAACCCAAGCCAACTCGTTGAGTTCCTTTAGTACTTAGAGAAACAGGGAAAACCCGAGCCAACTCGCCGAGTTATCAAGACAACTCGTAGAGTTCCTACAGTATCCATAATAACGGGAAAACTCGATGAAACTCATTGAATTGTCAAGACAACTCATCGAGTTTTCCCAACTTAACTCATTCAGTCCTTTTTCGACCCTTCCATTGCTCAAGAATGCAGATCTGGAACCTATAAGTGGAAAACCACATAAAGTTGCTATTTTATGTCCATGCATGACACAAAGAGGCTAAAACACTCAAACAAGTCCTAACAAGGGTCTCAAGCATAAAGGTGGCCTATAGCATGATAAACCTTGAAGCTTTAAGCCCAAAGATGCCACAAAGTATCCAAATCTAAAGTCGCAACTCCAATAAAAGGCCAAACCCAAGAATGACTCTAATATGAACCAAAAATGATAATAAACTTCCAAAGGGGGAGATCTAAGCAATAAATGACTAAGGTATCGACTTTATACCTCAAATAGTTGCAACAATAGAGAAGATTTCAGATATACAGCCTTCCTCTCAATCAAACCTCTTCAAACTCCAGGATTCTTCAAAAGATCACCAAAAATTCAGTCTTCAAGCTCACACACACACACATAAAAAGGGATACAATGCACGAATTAGGGTTTCTATGGACAGAGGGGAAGACAAAGAGGCCATACAAAGGCCATAAGGTCTTTAAATAGGGTGCAACACTCTAAAAATTAGAGTTTCATAATCAGCCACCAACTCGTTGAGTATTCCTCAACAACTCGTCAAGTTGGTCCAAAAATATGCACGACCCAAGAGCTTTGAACACCTCGAGTTGAGGCTATCAACTCGACGAGTTTCAAAAGGGAATTTTGTCTTTTAAGCTATCAGTCTCATACCTAGGAATCAAGATGTTACAACACTCCCCAGTGTGCTACCCCCACTCCATTAAGCACTTAAACAGTTCATCCCCTACTCCATACTCTCAGTCCTTATCTCGAAAGATTACTTATCATGTAAAGTTGGCAACTTTACGTGCATGCATGGCTTAATGGGGTTCTAGAGCTCAAAAGAGCCTTACAAAGGCTCTTGACACATGCATGAGTCAATATACACCATAAAGTTTGCATTTTTATGCATAAGGGACCCCTAAAATGTCTATATCTAAAGGGTTAAACTTCTAAAACGACCTTATCCACAAAGCCAACCAAAGGGACCAAAATAGTTATAAACAAACCTAAGACTAGTTCTATACAAGGAGTTGACATGTTATGGACTTTATACCTCAAAAGTCACAAAATGACGAAGCTAAATTTGGATCTCTAAGCTCTTCTCCAAGCAATAAGTCTTCAATATTCTTCTACCACTTCCAAATGCACAAGAACACACCAAAGTTATTTGTAAGAGCTTAAAAGTACAAAAAACAAAGGCTAGGCACGAAATTAGGGTTTTAAAGATATGTAGGTTTTTCTAAAATGTCCAAAAGGTGGGTTTAAGAAGCTTAAATAGGGCACAAAACCTAAAAATTAGGGTTTTTCCCAAGCCATCATACGCCCAACGTAACCCCATGTGCGCCCAGTGTACGTGGGCGATGTCTGCGATCATGGTCTAGCTAGTACACTAAGCGTACTCATCCAGTACACCCCGCATACTAGCCAGAGGGCCAATAATACAAATATTTTTTTGGAACGGTTAAAAGGAAACTTATAAGGTCCGAATATTACACAAACCTTCATCCTTGTGCTTATATCCTTTTATATCTAGGTTTTTAGGCTTAGTTCTTCATGTTGGGTTCATATGGGTGGTTAGTTTTGATAAACTTGGAAACTTTATCATTCCTTGAGGTCCCTAGAGATATATATGTTGCAGAACTTAAATGATTCAATTGTTTGTTGCCATTCATGTAGTTTTGTTTTACCTCATTTCACCCTTTTGACCTAAGTGTAGGGATTAGGGAAGGACAAGCATTCATAAGTTATGATTTTTATTGTCCCCTGTGATGCAAAGGAGCCATCTGAAAGTATTAAGGGATGTATTAAAGGATTAAGCTCTTAATGAAGGAATGCTTATTCTGACCAAACACCATGGCATGGCCAAGGTGGTGTCACGCTGCAACGTATCTGTTTTTTTCGAACGTAACCATGCATGGCTTTATGATTGTCACGACATGGTGGATGGTTTCTCTATGACTGCTTTGTCTTCTGGCTACTATAGTGCGGTCATTGGTTGGTCATGACGTGGTGGCTGACTATTGACACTTAACCGTTGACCATTGAATTTTTACCAGTTTGACTTTTGGTCAAACTTGAAGAGGTTTTGAGTTATAAATTGAGGTTTTATTGTGATTGGTTTAGGAGGTTTGAGGCGATTCTGTGAGGATTTCGAGTAGTGGATTTCATCTCTTTAATCAGGGGAGTTTTCTCACTATACAATGTAGGACACTAGGTGTTGTTTTATGCTAGATTGTTATAGTGACTTTTGTATTAAAATAATATGTTTGGGATCATAACACTTATATGAAAGATTGTGGTGGGATCACATCTCTTAAACGGAAGACCATGGCGGGAAAGACTGCATCGGGTTTGTAGCAACGAAAGTGACTGTAAGGCTATGGTAGGATCATAACATACACAAATTGAAATAAACCATATGGTGGGGCCCACTGTTATGTATAATATGTGTTATTTTGGGAAACTCGTTAAGCTTTGTGCTTACAATTTAAGTTTAAATGTTTCAGCAGTGGAAAGGAGCCACCTTAATTGCATTGCGTGCACCGATGATTTTCCGTACTATGAGATTTTAGGATTACTTAGATATTTTAAGAAAACAATATAATTTGGTTTATATGACTTGTGAGGTTTATGGAATGGTTTTATTAGCGTAAAAATGAAAATTTTTCCAGGTATTTTTGGAATGTTTCAAAGTTTTACAGATTGATCCAAACCATAAGGACCATTTGTGCAATTACTCTAAGGTTTATTAGTTATTAAGTTCGAATTTATTTATCTTATATTTTATATTATTTTTGTTTCATGTATTGGATACAACTGATGTTAATCAACCGTCTACCATCTTTTGAACATTTTCTATCTATAAGATGTTTAAGTATAAGGAAGAGAAACTTTATTAGGGGATGTTTGAGATTACTTTTCATAACAACTTATTGGCTTATTGGCTATTTTCAAAAGCCAGTAAGTTAAAAAAAATATTTGACAATCTCAAAAGAACTTTTTCAAAATGACTTTTCATTACTTTTAAAAAGTCTTCAAAAAGAATATTTGAAAAACAAGTAAAATTGGGCTTTTCGAAACTGATTTTAGCTTTTACCTATAATAGCTTCAAAAAGGAGATTTTAAGTCAAACACTATTAACTTATTGACTTATTAACTTTCACCACAACAAAATTTAATCCTAACACATTTTAAAAAACTCATTTTATCATCACCATAAGTCAATAAGCACTTTATCCCTAAAGCACTTTTTAAGTTAAAAAACAATCCTAAACACCCCTTAAAATAGGTGACAATTTCATGAATGACTAAATAAGTATTTATATCATATAAATGAAACATATTATCATTAAGGTAATTTAAAATAACATTTTAAAAACCTTTGTTTTGAAATCTCAAAATTTTGAAGTTTAAGTTTCTGGAAATCGTCCTAAAATCAAAAGAGGCTTAAAATCCAAAATAGTTAGGTTGTAGCAATACAATATCATCACATGGTTAATAACCTTACATGACGTGGCCTTCTAAAAAAACCATGCTATTTCTTATGTTGTCTCTAAGTTCAAAAATCCGAGCACAAGTCAAAATAAATTAGGCAATAAAATTGTTTAGTGAGAATATCTAAGGTTTAATCATTTTGAGTAAGAATACATCTATCTAACTTACTCGAATAAACCCTTTGAAAAACAAGAAAAAAATCATAAATCAACTTGTAGCACTTGGTTCCTGGTACTTATTTCTAGTAATTATTAATACTTAATTCATGCATTTTGCCTTGGACTCGACGAGTTGAAGGACCAACTCGCCGAGTAGGAGCGGGATGAGATGCGGGGTCTGAGCCTCGGACTCGGCGAGTTGGTTCCCCGACTCGGTGAGTAGACCCTGTTTGGGCAAAAACCCTAACCCGGGTCTTTG